ATGACCAAGTCAGAGGAAATTCAACCACTGAAGTAATTCTGATAAAGGATTATAGCATATTGATTAAAACAAGAATCTAGAAGTTCATGGTGAAATCAATCAATCAGTAGAAAGGCAAGTCATTGAAGGAAAGATGAAATTAAAAAATCACCATTTGGTAGCCATCCCAATTATAATTGATTGAAGTAAGAAGCGAGATACTAAACCTAATAAGAAAAAGTTTGAACAATGTTATCATTTCAATATGAAATATTCCCACAAGCTTATGTGTTGAATGCTTGGTCCCCACTTGGTGCCATTATTTTGGGAGGTGCTGGTTAACTTCAGGAGGGCCATGCTAGAAGAAGTAGGCCATGGGGGAGGGGGCGGGGGTGTCCTTGGGGGGCTGTATGTTGTACCCAGCTCCTCTCTCTTGCTCTATCACTTCTTGTCCACTATGATATTGTTGTGGGAGGTTGTTAGCTGAGGTACATGACTCTGAGTCAGATTAGCAGGAAGCAACATTTTATTGTGCCAGTGCAGACTCAGTGGACTCATATTCAAAGGCTGAGCCCCGAGAACAAAGGGGTGTCACCTTATATACCCTTGCGAGCAGGTTACAGAAGCAAAAGCAAAGTGTAATCCATATATGGTTATATTTAATTTTATTGGCTACTTTATCCTAGTGCTACTTGACTTTCCCCTCCCTGGTGAAATGTGACCTTCCTCATGTTCAGATTTCTCAGGTTTGATCTCTTTGCTGTGCCATCCCTACCTCCCTGGTACTTTCTCAGGACTCAGGTCTAGTCTGTTTTCTTCTGATCCTCCTCCCTGTTACGTTAATATGAACTGCTCTGCCATACCCTTGCCACCATATGATGGACTAAACCCTCTGAAACCATGTGCTAAAGTAAATCTTTCTTCCTTGTTATGTCTGGCATTTTGTCACAGTGACGAGAGAGCCTGACTAATACAGAAGTTTGGTACCAGAGAAGTACAGTTGTTGCTAAAACTGAACTTAAACCTTTGGAATTGATTTATGGGAAGAGTTTGGAGATGTGAGCTAGAGAAAGCCTAGAATGCTGGAAGCAAAGCTTAATGGGAAATTTTGGTAGGAATTCCAAAGACTAGAATGCCAACAGGAATGCAGACAGTGAAGGCCAGGCTCATGAGGTTTCAGATGGTAATGGACTCTATTGAGAACCGTACTAGAGGCCACTCATGATACATTTGGTGAAGAATTTCTCTACATTTTGCCTGTGTTCTGAGACTTTTATAAGTACTAACTTAAAAGTAATGAACTAATTAATCTGGCAGACGAAATTATAAGACAGCATAACATTCAGGTTGTGTATCGTTATTGATGCCTGCTTTTAGCCAGGTTTATAGTGAGAATTGAGTGGAAAAAGCAGAACAGAAAGACTTGGAAAAAATGCAAAGTTTGTTGGAAAAGTCAGTGTAAAGTTGGGCTAAGGAAGACGTAGTTTCTGGAGTTAATCCCATTAAAAAAAAGCCAAGCATTTTGCATCAGGACAATAAATAGGTACGATGCCTTGAGGGAATCTCAAGAATTGTCCAGTCTCTACCCACTATGGGCTCAAGGGTATGAAAGACTAAAATCATTTGAAAGACTTTCCCTTGAGAAGAGAGTGTCTGTCTCTGGGGTGACCTGCAGGTACAGGGATACCAAGGAAGTTGTTTCATTATGTTCAGCCACCCAGACACTAAGACTATTACAACGATGATCCAAAGGAGCCAAGGTACTGCTAAGCTGGTAGCAGACTCTGGTTTTGTTCATTTGATGCTGGTTTTGCAGGCATGCAGAATGCATGAGGTAAGGGATCATGAAGGCTTCCACTGAGATTTCAAATTAAGACCTGGAAGGCCAAGCAATGTGTAGCAGGGTCAGAATCTTTGCAGGCAGTCAGTCCATGAGAGGGTGATGGATGAAACTCTGAGGGTGAAACCAAAGCTGCAGGAGAGACCCAAGGATGTTGGTGATGCCAGGAACATGGGATGTCTGCTGAGGAAAACTTCAGTCAATGAATGAAGCCAACCCAAGAAAGAAACCATGTGGGCTGCAACCAGCGAGGACATATGAGCAGAGCTGCCAAAGTCTGTCAGCTCACATCACAACACCACATCACCAGATGCTGGACATGGACCTACAGGATTTAGTGTTTGCCCTGCTGGCCTTCAGTCTTATTTATACCCAGTCCTTCCTATAACCTCATCCCTCTATTTTGGAGTAGGACTGATTACTCTGTCCATTGCGTCTTGGAAGAATGTAGCTTTCTTTTTGAATTTACAGGGCCCATAGCTAAGAGTTTTTCTTGAGTCTCAGAAGAGACTGTTTCTTTTCATTTTCATTATGATACATTAATTGCACAGGGGGGATTCATTGTGACACTTCTGAATAGCCTTACGTTATACATTGATTGGGTCACCGTCACCATCTTTCCCCCTCAAACCCCTCCGAGCCCCACCTAAAACAACTGAAAAAGGTTTCATTGGTCTATTTCATATATGTATACAAAGCACATCGAAAATATCCACCCTCTTTCATCACCTCCATTCACCCTCCTTCTTCCCATATACCACCCCCCCATGGTACCTATTTTACATTCCTGTCCTTCAGAAGAGACCTTGAAGTTGGACTTTTGGACAATGCTGGAACTGTGAAGGCTTTGGGGACTCTTGGAAATGGATTGGATACATTTTATATTATGAAATGGCCATGAGCGTTGGGGGCTAGGGATGGAACATAATCGTTTGAATATGAACTGTCCCCCACAGGCTCATGTGCTGAATGCTTGCTCCCTACCTGGTACCACTATTTGGGGAGATGCTGGAAACTTTAGGAGGTGGGGTCCTAGCTGGAGAAAGTAGGTCACTGATGCTATGTCCTCGGGGGCTTTATCTTGTCCCCAGTTCCTGTTTCTGCTTCCTGTTTACTATGGGGTAAGCTGCTCCACCACACTTTCTCCACCATGATGGACTGAACCCTAAGAAGCCATGTGCTGAAATAAATCTTCCTTCTTTAAGCTGTCTTTATGCCAGGTATTACATCACTAGAATGATTAATATAAGGAATAACAGGATATTTGCAAATTCTCAAGCTATCTGTCCAAAAAAATACTTGGTAATTACAAGGGGGGAAAATAGTAACTTTACAGTGGAGAAATGATTACCTGAACAATGTGATCCCATAGAGAGCAAATGAACATCACATATGTCTTTATCTGAGGCACCAAGAGGCACATGACATCACTTTTGTGCTGCCCTTGCACAAACCCATAACTTGAATCTAATCTCGAGGAAACATCAAACTCCAATTGAGAGATTTCACAAAATAAACAGCCTATACTGCACATTGTAAGTGTTCCATACATAGATGAACATAACTCTGTCATCTGCACGTTTCTGGAGCACTGTTAGCATTAGCTTTTATTTGAAAATGCAAGACATGAAAAGGTTCAGCGTAAGTTTAGTTTCAGGAGCAGCGGACTAAAGGAAGAATTGTTCCTGCAGATTAGCAGCCACTGTTTAAGCAATGCAATTTTTATTAAGAAGGGTATAGAGGGTGAGGTGATACATGCCTGTAATACCAGTGCATAGGCAAGAGGCCAGTCCGTGTCTCATCCCAAGACGCTGTCTCAGATAAAATAAGGGGTGGGGTAGTTGTGGAGTAGAAGGATATGCAAGGTGCATAGTGGAAATTATCAGTCCTTCAAGATATACAGACAAAGATCTATGTCATCTTTATTTTTTTATTTATTTGTTTTTGCAGTATTGGGAATTGAACCCAGGACATGGTGCTTGCTGGAGAAGTTCTCTATCACTTGAGCTACCCCTGGCCCCTTCCCTATAGACTCTTTTAATCAAGAAGTACAAGCCTTAACAGAGTCAAATAGCTCTTCAAAATTATTCTCTTTTGAATTTAGTTAATGCTAAAAATTATTTTTTCTGGCAAAATTTCGATTTCACTAGAGATGAAAAGTAGATATAATCTACTTCAAAGAAAAAAATGCATAAGTGTGTAACAAACCGCTCATGCATTAAAGGATAATTTTCCAAAAAAGGTAAAATCATTACCCTTACACAAATATAGACATGAATGCATGATAAGATTTTATTTAGCTCATTAATAAGGAAATTGGTAAGATGTTAAAACCAGTGCAAAGGAAAATTCTAAGGACACATGAGGAATACATTTACATGTCACTGCAGGTGAAACTGGTTTTCACCTCAATGCTGGTGTTGCAGGGAGGGGATGTCACTCTGCTTACTGCATACAGTTCATCTGCATACATATAAACAAGAATTATTTTTCATGGCTATTATTTATCTACAACTTACAAAGTTGTAAAAATAAGCCAAGTGTGGTGGTGCACGCCTGTGGTCCCAGCTACTGAGGAGGTAGAGGAAGGAGGATCACAGTTTGAGGCCAGCCAGAGGAAAGTTAGTGGATGACCCTCTCTGAAAAAAATTTTTTTAAACGCAAAGGACTGGGGATGTGGTTCGAGTGGTAGAGTGCTTTTCTAGCAAGCAGAAGACCGAGTTCACTCCCTAGTGCTGCAAACCAAAACCAAAATAAAATTTTAAAAAAGTTGTGAAGTAATTCCCATGGAATCAGACTCAGCCTGAAAGGATGCGTTCTTTAGGCAATGCAAAATTGTTTCTCCTACACAGAACAGCTATAATTTATCTCCAGACGTACAGTAAGCAGAAAGTCTGAGTTGGAGACGGGAATACGCTGTTTAGAAATAAATTCAATAGACATGTCAGGCAAATGACAGACTGTACTTCGGTTCACTGCTCCGTGGAGAAGCCAGCTGTGAATGTGCTCAAACCTGGACAAGGTATTCAACTATTCGCCAATCACACCACACAACAAAACAACTCCAGGGCCACCTGGAAGTAAAACTGCACGTTGAAAGGGCACTGTGCGGTCGGACTTGTGGATGTGGCCCACACTTGCTAGTGGGGAGGAAGTGGCTTCATGGTGCACTGGTCACAAAATGAATGTAAAACACCATCGCCCTCCCTGCCCAGGCTGGACTCTGGAGCTTGAAGAGCTAAGACCTTTACAACCACGTGTTTTCTGAAACACAGGCGGTAACGATCACGCCTGGCTGCCAGGGCTGCTGACATTTAAACCGATGAAGGATGTGAAAATGCTTTGCAGACCGTGAGCGCCATTAAGACGCACGCATCACTGCTCGGCTAGATAACGGGCCTGGGTGCCCCGCCGGCAGCCGCGGGCGTGCACGGCGCTGGTTGCCGCTGGCTCCTCCCCGCCGGGCCTGCGAGCCAGCAGCGGTGAAGTCCCCGGCGGGCCGGGCCGGGCCGGGCCAGGCCGGGGCGGGGCGGACCCCAGCCGCCCAGTTCCTCATTCTGTCAGCCGTGCGGGGCGAGCGGGCGGCGCCATAGGCCCCGGAGCGCGGGCAGCTGAGGATGGGCCGGCTCCTGCCGCTGCTCCTGCTGCTGCTGTGGCCGGCCTGGGCCGCCGCCGCCGCCGCCCGCTCGCCGCCCCACCTGGTCTTCGTGCTGGCCGATGACCTGGGCTGGAACGACGTGAGCTTCCACGGCTCGAGCCTCCGCACGCCGCACCTGGACGCGCTGGCGGCCGGCGGGGTGCAGCTGGACAACTACTACACGCAGCCGCTGTGCACGCCGTCGCGGAGCCAGCTGCTCACCGGCCGCTACCAGGTACGCGGGGCCCGGCCGGGCCAGCAGTCCTCAGCCCGCAGCCCGCTGCGGCCTCTGCGCATGCCCGGCGCGCCCCCTTCCTCCCCCCCCCCACCCCCGCCCACCCCGGGCGCCCGCATCTCCGCGGCCCGGGCAGCGCTTCTGACTTTCGCTTTCTACAGCCGGGCGAAGGGGGTTCTGGGAATGCGCTCGCCAGGCCCGCCGAAGGTCCCAGCGGCCGTAGGGGAGGACTGTCCACCAAAGTGGAGGCAAATCTTCCACGCTGTCCGCACCCCTGCAATGACACGTGCCCAGATTGATTTTTCTTAGGCTGCTGATACTCCTTTGGGGTTTAACCCTGAATTGAGCCCCTCTGAGCATCTTCATCAACTCTCTGGAAGCTTCTCGTTAGAAACGTCTGGAGTTTGAATTCAGGGCCTCGAGCCTACTGCTTGAGTCACACCTCCAGCCTAAGTCGCTGTGATTAATAGAAAAAATATACATATAGAGAGTGTGCGCGTGAGATGACTAAGATAGCAAGAACATTTACGTTTACAGTTACTTGCTGAAACGGCCTATGAAGTAGTTACCTTTGACCCTCTTTACAGGTGAGGGCCTGCATACATCGGATGACAGGTGGAGAATCACACAGCTACGAACTAGTAACGCCCAGTCTCGTGCTCCACTAGGCATCTCAGACCTGTAAAACTGGACTTTTCCCTCAATTTGAGTAAGATCGACATGTTTATAAGATGCTGATGTGATCACGACCCTTTTTTACTGTTGGATATTATAGACACACCTCCATGTACGTGTGCACTTTGCACAGGTAACAGGTACAACAGACATATTTGTATGTGCCAGTCACAGGAGATACTTGAACCCTATCTTCCCAAGTTTGTGTTCACATAAACTTTCAGATCAACCCTAGCTTTGTATCCTCCTAAGACCAAGGGAAGGGAGACTTTCACTTATGATGAATATTTCAACAGTGATCTGAAGATAGTGTTTTGCTAAGCAGCTGAGAAACAGCTGTAGCCAAGGTTTGCAATAGAGATGAAGCCTGGTTCCCTTCATAATCACCAGTAGGATTTTCCACCTTTCCTGCCAGGGCTGCTAAGTGTAATCAAGAATCCTACCCTCATGCAAGTCTCCCCCTGGACACTGTTGGAGTAGGGGATGAGAGTGAAGAAGGGAGAAAAAGGAAGGTCTGGTCTGTCCCTGTGTCTGCTCTCGCTAAAGAGAACTGAACTCACATTGCAAAAGAATGGAAGGCTGTTCATTTCTCCACAGCCTTGAATAGGAAAGCAAATACCACTGGATCCTAACCCTAAAGTCTTCCCCTACCAGTGACCAACATTCATTCTTGAGGAAATTCTTGAGTATTTAGGGTACCCTGTGATTAAGAAGCTTCTCTAGGTAACTGACTCAGACAGGCTAGCCTCCCTAAGTACTTTCCTTGACTTTTTTTTTTCACCCATTTTATTCTATTAGACTTTATGAGGCTCACTTAGAAATTACCTTGGTTTAGCATGTGGTTTTTTTGTTTTTGTTTTGTTTTTTTTTAACAGTACTGAGGATTGAACCCAGGGTCTTGCAAACAGCAAGCATCCTGTAGTAAAGGAGTAAATATTTGTGGGAGTGCTAACCAGCCTCATTGCCTTCAGATACTATACATATTGGTACTATTCTGGACATTTTACAAATGTTAACTACTCCTCACAATGATCCTGTGAGGCCAATACTACGTCAGGTATCCTATTTATTAGAAGGAAACTGAGGCTAGAAGAAGCTAAGAAACTTTCTCAAAGTCACAGGGCTAGGAAATGATGGACCAGGATGTAAATCGGGCATTGTGCTCCAGAGTTGGTGCTTATAACCTATAAACAATGTCACCTACTTAGAATTATTGAAAATATCATCACAAAAGCTATTTCATGCTTACTAAATAATCTGCTTAGTTTTGGAAAATTAAGTCATTCCTAACCATCACAGTTTTTGAAAGTTAACATGACATGTGTTTAAGCTAGAAACTGCCTGTCTTACATGTACACTGGGAATAGATTTTACTTCCAAAAGAGTTGTTTGTGTACATAATCAGGTACAATACAATGAGGAGATTAGCTATTTCAAAATTAGGCACTTGAAAAAACAACTTAAGAGTTCTGTGAACTTGACAATCATATTTTAAGTTAATGTTTAGAGAACCCCTTCCCGTAATAATATCTTTAGACTAGAAAAGTGATAAACAAGCCTAAACTGACTGGACTTTGTACTTTAATGAAATCCTGAGTTTTAGTTTTCTGGCTTGCAAAAGTATTGAGTAAAGAAGACTGGTTGAGAATTATGAGAGATGTCAGTCTTGGCTGTGTCAGACTCTGTTCTCACTGGACAAAAACAGATGTAGGAACTGGGCTCCTATAATATATAGTATATATAATAAATAATAACATGCATAGTATAATAATAATATATAATAGCATAGAAGTAGGACACAACTGTAATGGCCTTTCTAGCTCTAGATTTTTTTGGCTCCACAGCTTCTGTGTCCTGCACCTTCTGTGACTTGTTACCCACTAACTCCATCTGTTGGTAGAAGGGAGGATTAATCTTGCCTAACACTTTTACAAGTTGTAATTGTTCTGTTGCTAGTTCATTTAAACAGGAACATGAATTCAGCTTTTTATATTAAGACATTTAATTGTTAATAACTCTCACAAATGAATCTTTTTAACCTTCTTATTGGTGGAAGATGCATGGAGACTGAGTGAGGTGGTTGGGGTGGTGGGAGACTGCTGAGCAGGCAGGGTAAATATGAATCCGGGAAGTAGGAAAGCAGGTCTTTCTGTAGCCAGGCTGGTGTTCTTTCCATAGCCCTATAACTTATTCATTACTTTAAAACATTTAAAAATCTATATTTTATTTATTTGAAATAGAAAATACGTTCACGCACACACATTCTTTTCCTTAGGCTTCAAGTTCCTATCTCTGCAGGCAAACAATGCTCTCCTAGCTTTTGGAAAGATAAAAGATAAATATAATTTATGCTTACACAGCAAAAAAATATATATAAATTTTGAGTTATTCTCTCTTCTCTTTATATAAGGATGGCGATACCTCTTACTATTGTATTGCACAATGTTTGTTTTTAGTTAACATTTGAAATCATCCAATATTGTTAAGTAAAGATCTTCCTCATTAATTTTTATGGCTGTATAATATTTTTAAGTGAATATATTATGATATTTTAACCAATTGCATAATGATGGATATATAGATTATTTTTAGTCTTTTGATATATCAAAGGTAAGGTCAATATCTTATACATATGCCATTTTGTACATGTTTGAACATATTTGTAAGACAAGTTCCAAGAAAAGAAATTTTCTAGGTTTAAGAATAGCTGGTGGGGCTGACAGAGTGGCTTAAGTGGTAGAGCACCTGCTAGCAATTGTGAGGCCCTGAATTCAAACCCCAGTATCGCAAAACAACAAAAAAGAGTAGATGGTGTTTGTAATTTTGATATTGTAAAATTGAATTTCAAGAGGTCGTACCAAAGTACATTCCAACCAGAAATACATGATATTTACCATGTCCCTACCTTCCTTTTTAAAGTTGTAACTCACATGCTATAAAACTTACCATTTCAAAGTGTACAATTCAGTGGTTTTTCATATATTCACAAGATTATACAGCCAATATTTTTTATTTCTGCATAACCATTCCCATTCCCCCGTTCCAACGGTCCTGGAAATCACTAATCTATTTTTAGTCTCCCAATATTTGCCTGTTTTGAACATAAATGGGATCATATAATGGGTATCTTTCCATATATGTTACAGCATGTCTTGTTCCCTTTCGTGGCTCAGTAGTAGTCTACAGTAGGTCTACACCACATTTTTGTTATCCATCCTTTGATGGACATGGGTTTCACCCACTTTCGGCCATTATGACAATGCTGCTGTGAACATCCATGTACAAGTTTGTGTAGGAACATGCTAGTCCAGTCTTCTTGGGTTAATACCTAGGAATGGAATGTTAGAGGATACAGCAACTATAATGTTTAACCTTTGAGGAGCTGCCAAACTGTTCCCTTCAGCAGCTGTACCATTTTATATTCCAATTTGCAATGGGGGTTTAGTTTCTCTGTGTCCTTGTTAACTTTTGTTATTATTTGTCTTTTTGATTACAGTCTTGTAGCCATCCTCTGAATATGAAGTGATATCTCATTTTAGTTTTGATTTGCATCTCTTGGTGACTAATGATGTTGAGCATCGTTTTATGTCTTACTAGACATTTAAAAAATCTTCTTTGAAGAAATATCTACTCAGATCCTTTACATATTTTTTAGCAGTACTGGGGATTGAATTCTGGGCCTTGCATTTCCTAGGCAAGTGCTTTACCATTTGAGCCACCACCTCAGCCCTTTTTGTTTTACTTATTTTTCAGATAGGGTCTCATGCTTTTTGTCGAGGACTGATCTCAGACCACAATTGTCCTACCTCTTACATAGCTGAGGTTAGAGGTGTGCACCACCATGTCTGACCTTTTGCCTATTTTCAAATTTGATTTTTTTTATTATTGTAAGACTTCTTTATATATTTTGAATATTAAACCTCAATCATATATATTATTTGCAAGTATTTTCTACCATTCTGTGGGTTACTTTTTACTTTCTTGATCATGCCTTTGATAAACAACAAAAGTTTTAAATTTTGATGTAGTATAATTAATTTTTTGGTTGCTTGTGCTTTTGGTGTCATATCTAAGAAACCACTGTCTAATCCAAGATTACAAAGATTAGCTTCTGTGTTTTCTTCTAGGTGTTTTATAATTTTAGCTCTATGTTAAGCTAATTTTTGTATATAATTTAAGGTATGTGAATGCATTTAGATGTCTAGTTGTTTCAGCACCATTTGTTGAAAGGACTATTCTTTCCTCATGGAATATTTTTTCCATCCTTATCAACAGTCCATTGATGACAGATGTGTGGGTTTAATTCTGGACTCACAATTCATATT